TACAACGAAAATTAATCTTATTGAAAGTTCAATAAGAACTGAAAAACTAGAAAAACTTCCTATATTCCTGGATGTTATTGCTGTTGTTGAGTGCTGTGGAGATGGTTCTGACACACAGCAAACTGTATAGGGTTTCTAATCTTTGCAGGAGCAGAAAGTCTCCTCCCATGGAGTGACTAGTAGGCTTGAACTTCCAACCTTTCAGTTTGTAGTCCAGTGCTTATCCTATGGAGTCACCACACTCTAAATGGAAAGTCTAAATTTTATAGAAATGTCAATTTGTCCAAATTAAAGCCATTATGGTAAAATCCTCAAAAGTTAGTATTCCTATGATGTAGTCCACAAAGACAAGGTTCTACATTCTATTTTGGTGAGTATCATCTGGGATCTTAAAAGCTCATGAATGGCCATCTAAGATGCAACTACTGATCTCTCATTGTGTGGAAGAAAGAAAAGTAAGGAAAACTGAAGATGCTTGGAATCAATAGTCCAATGGACTAATGGAACATCCATCTCTAGGACTCTGAGACCAGAAGAACTAGATGGTGCCCAGCTAGCACTACCAACAACTCTGAAAGGGACTACATCAGAACATCCCAAATAGAATGGAAGAACATGTGGAACAAAACTTAAAATTATGTATTTAAAAACCAGACTTTCTAGTTAAAAAGAGACTGGAGAAATCTAAGACTATGGCCCTTAGCTACCCTTCAGGTCTGGAACATAAATCACCCTTGAGGCCCAATTATCAGCCAAGCAGCAGATGGGTATACAGAGGAAACGACAATAATAAGGCATGCTCACCATGAAATGGTGCACTATTCAAGAACAAAAGGGTAACATTATGCTAAGGACAAAGTTCAGATGGGTTGTGAATGCAAGTAAAAATTACATGGAGGAAATGGTATTACTGTTTAATGGAGGAGACCACAATCATTGAGATCAAACAAAAAAATGTATGATTTGAGTATAACATTGATGTTCTGCTCTGTAAACCTTCACTCAATTGATAATAGTTTAAACACAAAACGTTAGCACTCATACTACACACCCTGCTCAGAGAAAGGCACATTTAACAAATGACTATAACCGTCACAGAGAAATGAAATCAACTTTACAGCTTAGACAGGACAACATTAAATAGAATAAAAAGGGGTATATATAGTTAGTATAGGAGCTCTGGTAGCGTAGTGGTTACGAATCGGGCTGCGAACCTTAAGGTCAGCGGTTCAAAACTACCAGCTGGTCCGCGGGAGAAAGATGAGGCTTTCTACTCCCGTAAAGATTTACACCCTCGGAAACCCTGTACAGGGTCGCTATAGGTCGGAACCGACTCGATGGCACTTAACAACAACAACATAGTTAGTATACCATACAGATGGCATGATACCAAAACAAAAACCAGGCCTTAATAAATAAAGGAAATTAAAAAACTCAAGCAGGTCTCAGAAATAATTAATTAAGAGTAATGTATATGCTAAAAGTGCCATTTCAAATCAAAGTGGATTATAATAAATGGTGCTTGGAGAAAAAGGGAAACATAGGCCATTATTGTTGTTAGGTGCCATTGATTCAGTACCAACTCATAGTGACTTTATGCACGAAAGAATGAAACATTGTCCGGTCCTACGCCAATTTCACAATGCTGTCACACTTGGGCCCATTGTCTGTCAGTTTGTCATACTGTAGTGACTTTCATGTTGCTGTGATTCTGGAAGCTATGCCATGGGTATTTTAAATATCAGAAGGGTCACCCATGGTGGACAGGTTTCAGCTAAGTTTTCAGACTAAGAGTAAGAAGAAGTAGAAACAGACTACCTCCAAACATTAGTCAACTATTTGGAAGTTAATATTGGGCACTGAAAACACTGAATATTTAGTCACTGAAAACCAGCACCAGACTACTACTTCATACCAAAAGTGAAATGTAAATCATCAATAAACATAAATTGTTCAATCTTACTAATAATCAAAGAAAAAAACATTTTAAATCTCTTATTCTTATATCAAACAAAGTTATCACACTAACATTAAAACTGATGAAAATTTGCAGAATGTGGTCATTCATATTTTTCTTCCTACTGGGACAAAAATTTGGCAATATAAATATGAAAAGGGTTTTTAAAAAAAGTATTCACCTAACTTTAATCCAGCAATTCTAAATATTGATTCCAAAGAATCATGTGTATAGAATTACTTCAGCATTACTAAAATATAAGTGTGGAAAGGAAAATGAGGTGAATTCAAATTTAAGACTACCATAATTGAACACAAAATATAGCAAATGTTGCTACACACTAAAGAAATTACTTTGAACTTATTTTCAAAAGTTTTAAACAATTGAAAAATCCACGAATTTGAAGTATAAATGAGAACCATAAAACAGTTTAACACTTCATAGCCACTGAAATGGGTAGAATCAAAATAATAAAATTATCAATACTGATGAGGATGTAGAGAAATTGGAACTTTCTTAGATTACTGATGAGAATGTACAATAGTACCACCTCTTTGGAAAGCACTTTGACAGTTCCTCAAAACATTACACATATAATTATCATTTGACCTGGCAATTCTACTTCTAGTTATATAATTGAGAGAAATGAAAACAATACTGCCACACATAAATATGTACACAAAATGTCCATAGCAGCATTAGCATTATTTATAATAACCAAAAAATGAAACAACCCAAATATTTATTCACTTATTAGATAACAAAATGTAGTATATATAAAGTAAAAAAATATTGCTGCTAGGGTTCCAGTTCATACATGCGCTAATATTCTCTTATCACTCTTGTCTTAATCTCATCAGAATGTCTTAAAAAAAAAAAACAGATACAATCAAAATAGTGGATCTGCTGGGCCAGTTAATTCAGAGCAGAGAGCTTAGCTTAGAAGGCTATGGCATCCATTTTTGAGATTCCTCAGGAGTAATCTACACAGATTTTCTTGAAGTCTTGAAGGATACAGGACCATCACCATCAGAGGAGTTTATCAGGAAGATTTACGAAAATGAAAACCGCGTTAGTAAGAAAAAAGCCAGGAAAGGTGAGCCAAGGAACTTCTTTTCCATCACAACAACGTACTTACTCATTGTTTGAAGGTAGAAAGGACTGTTCAACAAGAATCCATACCACTTACACCCTGCAGCCCTGATCTTGCTCCTTCAGACTTCGTTTTGTTCTCAATATTTATAAGAAACACAATTTGAGTCTCTTGAAAATGCAAAGGGGCTGTTCTGATGTGGTATAAACTGAAGAGTAAATTCAAATAAGGGTTGTTGTTGTTAAGTGCCATTGAGTCTGTTCCGACCCATACAGGGTTTCCGAGGAGTAGCTGGTAAGCTTGAACTGCTGGCCTTGCAGCTCAAGCCGACTGTACAGTCCAACGTATTAATCAACAGCACCACACCAGGACTCCCAGATAAGAGCTGTTGTTGTTGTTGTTAAGTGCTGCCGAGTTGATTCCAACCCATAGCGACCCTGTATATGGTTTCCAAGGAGCAGCTGGTGAGCTTGAACAACCGCCTTGCAATTCAAACGACTTTGCAGTCTGATGCATTAGCCCACAGCGCAACACCAGGACTCCTTAGAGATATGAAACCCCACCTTCAGAAATGTGTACCTCCATGTAGGGCGTGTTGAGAAATAATAACTTCACATTTTGCTATTTTGTTTAAAAAAGGCTTCTATGATTTTTTTGTAGCAATACTTTTTGACTTACCCTCATATATACAATGGAGTATTATTCATGCATAAACAGGAGCAAAGTATTGATACATGTTATAAAACAGATAAACCTTGAAAACATGCTAAAACAAGCTAGTACCAAAAGATTATATATTATACAATTCAATTTATAAGAAATGTCCAGAAGAGATAAATTTGCAGACACAGAAAGTATATTAATAGATGCCTAGGGTTGAACTATGGAGTCCTGGTGTGGCGCTGTGGGTTAATGCACAAGACTGTAAAGCCGTTTGAAGCACAAGGTTGGAAGTGAGAGCTCACCAGCTTCTCTTTAGAAATCCTATACAGGGTCGCTATAGGTCAGAATTGACTCAACGGCACTTAACAACAACAACAAGGCTGAACTGCAAAGTCAGCATTTCAAGCTCACCAGGCGCTTCTCAGAAACACTATACAGGGTCACTGTGGGTCAGAACCAGCTTCATGGCACTTATCAACCAACAGGGCAGGTGGAGTCCTGTTTTGGCACTATGGGATAAAGCAATGGACTGCAAGGTCGATTTGAACCACAGGGTCAGTGGTTCAAACTTACTTTTTGCTCCTTGGAAACTCTATACAGTGTCACTAAGAGTCGGAAGCAGCTCCAGGGCACTTAACGTTATCAAGAAATGGTGGTGGTGGTTATGTGCCATGGAATTGGTTCCAACTTATAGCAACCCTGTATTAGGTTCCCAAAGCTATAAATCTTCATGGGAGCAAAAAGCCTCATCTTTCTCCCATGGAGTGGCTGGTAAATTTGAGCTGCAACCCACTCCACTAGTCACTCCTCAAAAACCCTAAACAGGGTCACTATGAGTCAGAACCAACTCAACAGTACTAAACAACAAAAATAGAGCTAGAGGGGAGACCTGGTGTGGTGCATCAGGATAAGCAAACAAAAAGTCAACAGTTCAAATCTAGCAGCTACTCCTTGGAATCCCTATAAAGGGTCGCTGTGTGTCAAATCTGACTTGATGGCACTTTACAACAGGGCTGAAGGTAGGGTGCAGTGGTCTGAAGAGTGTTAATATGTATAGGATTTCTGTTAGGTGAAAGAAAATGCTCTAAAATTAGAGTGGCTTTGGTAGTACAACTTCAAGAAAACAATAAAAACCACTGATTTGTACACCTAAAATGGGTAAAACCTTTCATAAATGTATTATATCTCAATAAAGCTGATTTTTAAATATATCAAACAGTATTATTAATCCAAATGTGAACCTCCCTTACCCAAAGAAAAACTGAAAACTTCTCTCGTGAGTCTTACCTTTTAAGGGCATCTTTGAGTTCAGGCACGGAACGGATACATTGAACTGTAGCATTCATGTAACAAGTGTTACCAAGATTTGTCAATCCACATGGTAATTCCATCTGATATGAAAAAGGATTAAAACAATGTTGTATATGAATGACATAACATATATGAAATCACTAAGATTCATATTTTGAGGAAAGTCATATTTAGTAACTCCTACCATTTTAGTCCACCTTTACCCTAAAATAACAATTTAGATTGCCCTCACCAAAAACTTTTACGTGCATCTTGCTGATAATCATTCCATGTTTCAGTTCCCTTCTTGAAAATAATTGTGAGAATACAGTAGCACAGTATATATAGAGACACTTCAAAACACAAAAAACAAACAAAAAAATAAATGGCACTATATAAATGGTGCATGGTAAAAAATAAATAACATTTACCACTTATGTGTTGCCCAGTTTCAAAATGACTTTGTATTTAAATTAAGGATAATTTATATGTATTTTCAACCAGGAGGGTTTTGCTTTGTTCTGTTCTTTTTAAATACATTTTTTTCAAATATAAGTCATCAGGACTAAGAAACTGAGAAGTAAATTTCGTTGCTCAAGGATGGTTTTTATAGATTTAAATATCCCAGTACTTACTTAATCTCTTCAAGCCTGTCTCCTCATAAAATAATAAACACTTAAAAAGCGTTTAATATCTACTGGACACACAATACAAATTGACTTTGTACGTGTGTGTAAGTGCATCTTACAACAACCCTCAACATTAAGGTTAATTATAATGCCTATACCACATAGAGTTTTGAAGCTTAAAATCACAAGCTGTGAATTAAAAACCTTGTGTTCAATATTACAAATTTTAACACAAGTTTTAACACAAAATAATTAATTTGAAAGTCAAAAAACAATAGTCAAAATACACAATATTAAAAAAAAAAAACACCCCACTAATTTTATGAATTATCTGACGAGATGAAAAATCCCATGTCAATTTCAAAAATTTTTATGTTGATTGGTGAAAGCAAGCATCCTTACATTAACAATTAAATCTTAAAAACATTTTGACACAACTTTCAGAAAGACATCTTAACGACTGTCCTTTGAAAAATACTGCTCTAACATGAAATTTGGTATATCTTACGGCAGATGCTAACTGTTCTTCTGTCATGTCTTCCACAAAGACAGTTTTAGCTGAGGGTTCCTCAGGAAGAGCATCTGCAGAGCCCATCATTAGTAGATTCATCCCCTGTTTGAAAAAGAAAAAAGGTTCATTTCCCAAAAATCCACAAAATCTATTATACCCAATCAGAGATAGCAGACAAAAAAGTAACACACATTGTATGACTCTACAGAATCCTCGTGTGGCGCTGTAGGTTAATGAGCCAGACTGCAAAGCTGTTTGAACTGCAAGGTCGGCGGTTCAAGCTCACCAGCTGCTCTTCGGAAACCCTATACAGGGTCGCTATGGGTCAGAATCGACTGGTGGGCACTTAACAACAACAGCAACTGATATAAAATGTCTGCAAACTGCAACTCTATAAAAGATAGAAAGCAGACTAATGGATGGGGGAGGGCAGGAGAAGTGAGGAGTGGCATTAAATGGGTACAAGGTTTCTTAAGAGGGTAACAGAAATATTCTAAAATTACATTGTGTGATGGTTACACAACTCTAAAATAAATTTTAAAATAAAAAGTACACAGATGGTGGCTGCCTGAGAACAGGGGTTACTTACATATCTACAAAGGGGAATGAAGCAACTTTTTTAAGCACTGAAACATTTTCGTCTTGATTGTGGAAGTAGTTATGAGTACGAAAATTCAATTATAAAATTACCTAAATTTATCAAATTACACACTAAAAATGGGTGAATTTTATATCATGTAAATTATATTATAAACACAGGGAATTAGGGACACCAATGTCAACTGGCATAACATAATCCATAAAGCTAGTGTTCTACCTCCTACTTTAATTGGTAGCTACTGGAATCTTAAAAGCTCCTAAGTGGTCCTCTAAGATGCAACTACTGGTCTTCCCCAATCAGAAGAAAGAAGAGTGAATGTCTAGCTTTCATGTCCACGTGAACTGACTGAAACATATATCTTGGATCAGTTACACCTTAGTTTTCAAAGTTACATCTTTGCACTTTTAATATTTTAAAGAAGTCTTTTGCAGCAGATTTGCTGAATGCAATATATTGTTTTATTTTTTGACTGCTGCTTCCATGGGCATTGATTATGGATGCAAGCAAAGTGATTTCCTTGACAACTTTAATTTTTCTCCATTTATCATGCTGCTAACTGGTCCAGCTATGTGGATTTTTGTTTTATGCTGAGGTAGAGTGGCTCTGTAGGATAAGTACTAGACTGCTAACCACAAGGTTGGAGGTTCAAGCCCACTAGCCTACTCTTTGGAATTCCTATACAGGATCTCCATGAGTCAGAACTGACTCAATGGCACTTAGCAACAACAATCTATTCTGAAGGCTATAATCTTTGTTCATCAGTGCATGCTTCAAGTCCTCTTTAATTTATGCAAGTGGGGATGTCTCATCCGCGTATCTCGGGACTTTAATGAGTTTTAGTAGCGTAGTGGTTACGAATCGGGCTGCGAACCTTAAGGTCAGTGATTCGAAACTACCAGTCGCTCAGCAGAAGAAAGATGAGGCTTTCTACTCCCGTAAAGACTTACACCCTCGGAAACCCTGTACAGGGTCACTATGGGTCGGAACCGACTCCACGGCACATAACAACAACATTCCAATCCTAATGCTGCATTCTTCTTCATATAGTCTATAACTTCTTGGATTATTTGCTCAACATACAGATTCAATAAATATGGTGAAAGGATACAACCCTGACACATATCTCCCCTGATTTTAAACCAGGCAGTGTACAAGTTTCACATGAGCACGATTAAGTGGTCTGAAATTCTCATTATTGGCAGTGCTATAATTTGTTATCTCTACACAGTCAAATGTCTTTGTGGAATCTATGCATAAGAACAGAAACAGTCACTGAAAATATCATAATACTGAAATGTGAGCAACATATTAATCAATGTGGTAGAAGGAATGAGCACATAATAAAGGGGGCCAGAAGTGGAGGTTAAAAAAGCCAAAGGAAAAACAGCTAGGGAAGAAGAAAATATTCAGATGAGAATAAGACTAGGTTTTAAAAAATCTCACTTAATAAAGTCACCATATTCATTGTCTTAAAAATATCTAGATTAAAATCCAATAACCTTCATTATATCATCTTTTATTATATTGATAAATTATGATCCTACTAAAATGATATATCTAGAATAGGCAAATGTACAGAGAGAAACATTAAGAAGGGGGAAGAGGAGAGAGGGGGAATTACTGCTTAAGGAGTACTGAGTTTCTATTAGGGGTTATGAAAAACTTTTGAAAATAAAGTGATGGTTGCACTATATGGTAAACAAAATGAATGACAATGGACTATACATGTAAAAATGGTTGAAACGGCAAATATCTTTATATATATATATTTTAATATAATAATAAGAAGAAGTGTTTACTAAAACGACAAATTTGTTGTTATAAAAAAAAGCACTAAAAACTATTTTTTAACTCCAAGTCTTTTAACAAAAACAGCCAGATTAAGCCTTCAATTCAGTTTAATGACTACACTTAACAATTTTACTGAGAACTCCAATGATGAAAATTGAAGACCATGTAACAATCACTCCAATGGACTAACAGACTACCACTGTGAGACCTGAAGAACTGGGTGGTGCCCTGCTACTCCTACCAATTGCTCTAAAAAGGATCACATTAGATGGTCCTGGACATAATGAGAGAAAAATGTAGAACAAAACTCAAAATCAAAAAAGAAACCAGGCCTACTGGTCAAATAGAAATTGGTGACTATGGCCCATAGTCACCCTCAGGACTGAAACTGAACTCTTTTAGTGTCTCAGTTTTCAGCCAAATCTCAGACAGATCTATAGGTATGGCATTATTGGATTAGCCCTGGACTGCTAACCTCAAGGTCCACAGTTCAAACCGTTGGAAATCCTATACAGGATCACAACGAATCTGAATCAATAGAACTGACTTGACTGCACTTAACAACAATGCTCAATTTACAATTCTTTAATCCTCTTCTCAGCCATGCCTGAGGACAGGGGTTACTTATCTACAAAGGGGAATAAGCAGAACACGGGACCCTATCCAGAGAAGCCTCAACACCAGAGACGGAGAAAGAAGTGATGACATTGAGAGAGACAGCCGCTGAGGACTCCAGACTCATGAAAAGAGAAAGGCTGTGTGCTGGCGACCAGGAGGCTAGCTTGCAAAATATGTCCTTTGGTTGTTTAAATGATTATATACTCCTGAGTGTTTTTATCTACATTAAAAAATAGTAATAAGAGGGAATAAAGGCAAATATTGCTAACTGATGGCATATGGTGAGTACTGTAATCATTGCAGTGAACCAAAACATGATTGGTTGAATACAAAACCGATGTTCTGTCACATAAACTATCACTAAATTCACAATAAAAGCTTTAATAAAAAAAATTTTTTTAAAGACCAGACTCTGTCGGAGAACAAACAAGATGGCGGATCGGGTGGACGTATAGCAGAGAGCTCCGCCAACAACAACACAGAATAC